AGTGCTGTGGCATCATAGCTACATCAAACTCTTGAGCTCGAGTGATCCCCTTGGTAGCTGGGACTACAGGAGCCCACCACAACACCCAGCTATTTTTAGAGACAGGGTCTTATTTTTGCTCAGGCTGGTCTTGAACTCATGAGCTTAGGTGATCCACTCACATTCACCTCCCAGAGTACTAGGATTAAGCCATTGCACCTGGCCCTTAATTTTACAATTTTACAGAGGACTTTAAGAGTGAATGCTTAGAAGATTAAAGGAGGGCAACATAATTTGCAGCAGCAAAAATGGGAAATAATGTGAATGTTTATCTACAGGGGAGTGTTTAAATGGGTTGCTGCCCATGAGAGATTGCTGTGCAGTTGTTGATAAGAATGGAGGGTGCTGCCCATGCTGGTGCCTCAGCCCAGGAGGACATCCCAGGCAGTTGGGATGATTCAAGTTCACATGTGCTCGTCATGGGAAGAGGAAAGCCTGATGACTAATACTGGTTTGAGAAGGAAAGGCAAAGGGGGCTGTGCACTTGGAGTTCTTTGGACTGGGTGTAGTAAGTGTTATTAAATAACTGAACTCCTGCCTTAGGCCCCAGAAAAGCAGACAAAACTAGAGTGAACTCACTCATCCTAAGTGCCATTGTATCAAACTGACACTGCAAGGAAGCAGACAGACTCCCAAACAAACCAGTTTTTCCTGAGAACAGGAGATTTCAGTCTACCTGGCTCCTCTGCCTCAACGGCCACAAAACAGTCACCAGAGTAACCTGATGGTAACTGGCCAGAATTTTTCCTATTATTCTGTTTCCTTATTCTCAGCATACAAAACCCATTGTTCTGCCATTATCCAGTGGACCTCTCATTCTATTTTGTAAAATGGAGGCTGTCCTATTCATGAATTGCAAATAAAAGCCAATTGGATCGATGTTCTGCCATTATCCAGTGGTGCTCTCATTCTATTTTGTAAAATGCAGGCTGCCCTATTCATGAATTGCAAATAAAAGCCAATTGGATCAATGATGAAATTTGTTGCAATTTTGTCCTTTGATAATATGAATTGATTTGTAGCAACAGAAGGGTAAGGGGGGAAGGACAGAGACTCACTTCCCATTGTTTTCCTTTCCCTGTCTTTTGAATTTTGTGTCTCATGTATTTATTCCCATTCCAGAAAATAAAATAAAATAAAATAATGAAATAGGAAACTAAGAAATACTTGAAGCATACACTGATGTAATCTGCAGGATCTTCCCAGCCTGTGCTGGGCTTCACCCCTTCTCCTTGTCAATGCTTCCCCTCCTCCCTCCATCTCTCCCTCCCCATCCTCCTGGCCTCATCCAGTGCTCTCAAGTTCCCAGCATTAGGTGAAAGTTCAGAAAGCACAGCACATGGTCCTGGTGTTAAAACCCCTCCCAATCACCATGGTAGAATCCTGGCCAGCCTGTCAGACACTGTGGGACAGCTGTGAGCTGGGAACTGCTGGACATACTTCTCAGGATTTTATTTCACATAGGAAAATCTGCTGTTGCCTCTACAGCCTTGTGCAAAAGAGAGGGTTGGAAATGACCAGAGCTCTGAAAATGCCCAACCAGCCTCTTCCACTTCTAGCACTGGGCCAGGCACTTGTTCCAAGAGCTGACCCTGAAGCCCCTTCTCTTCCCTCCATGGGTCACCCCAAGGCCTGCATAGCCTGGCCAGGTTGGCACTGCTTGGATCTCTCCTACTGGGGATGGCAGCCTGAGGGTAGCATGCAGGAGTGAGATCAATCCTGAGGGAGGTCACACTGCTCTCCTCCATTCCTCCAGCAGGGCACTCCTGGGACACTCCTGGGACACAGCTGAAGGGGAATCTCTGGGGTGTTGGAACTGTCTAGTGCCCTGGTTCCTTGTATTTGCTGTCAGGTCACTGTAGGCTATGCCTAGATGTGGCCCCTCGGTCTGGGCATCCTACTTCCCTCTTCTTGACAGTGCCTGGACCACCCTAGCTCCTGCCTTCTGCAGCACTCTCAGCCTGGCTAGGTTCTTCATCACGGCAAGTCACCATAGCACAACATAGCAGAATGATGGAATGTTCCAGCCCCTGCCAAGGGGAGGGCATGTGGCCCTCAAGCCAGAGTCATATGTAAACCTTGACCATATTCTTCTCAAGACACAAAGTTCACTGTCAACAAGAAATCAGAATCCATGCAGCCTTTTGCCACTTCATTCCTTCAACCAGTGTTACTGAGCATCTTCTCTATCCAGCGCTGCAAGAGCCCCTGGGCTCTCAGTCTGTTAGCAGGGACACATGGCTGGCACCCAACCATATTCAGGCATCTGGGTCCTGGAAGAAGGAAGGGGTGAGGGCTCTGAGCAGGACTCAGTGTGGGAGCTCAGCAAGAGGCCCTGGAGCCTGAAGAGCCTTTGGAGCCAGGGGTAGTATCCAAACCTGGTGCCCACACACTACCTGTGATGTCTGCAGGCGAGCCACATCACGCTCATGCCTCAGCTCTCAGGTCTGAATGGTGAGGCTGGCACCTGCAGTGAGGGTGATGCAGATGGAACACGTTCACAGCAGGGCTCAGTAATGGCCATGCTCCTAGGTGCAGGTCCTGGGAGAGAGCTCAGAGGTGGCTTCACTGGTCTGGATGGGCCCATCGGGAGCCTTGCGGCACCTTTTTGAACCTACAACATGTAGTCTGTGTCCTTTTCCAATGCTGGCCTTTCCTCTAGAAACCCATTTCATTGCTGCCTGTTGTCCCTCTTGGCATGTAACTGTGGCGTGTTAGCTGAGGTAGAATCTAATCTTAGAGAACATGGATGGCCCATCTGTCCCTGCACCTGCTGGCCTGATGCTGGGCCAGGAAAGACAGCCACCTTCTCCCTTCACGGTTCTGAATATCTGGGCACCTGTGTGCAGTTTTCAAACAGGCTGGGGAGCACAGCCCCATTCAAGGGTGAGTTATCCTGAAAGGGGGGAGGGTTGCTGATGACACAGAAGGCCAGAGTCAAAGGCCTTTGCTGCCCACAGGCAGAATGGCAGAGTTAGGAAGAATCAATTGTCATCTTGCCAAAGAGCATTTTACCATCGTGGCTTCAGTTACGGAGCAGGGTAAGGGATATCATCATTTGTCTGTATTGACTATGACAGAGTCCAGCAGCCCCCACTGGCAGGGTGGGCAGGTCCATGCAGCCCTGGTAGGTGGCACAGTGATGCCTGGTGGGGTGGGCTCAAGGCTCTTGCTGAGGGGGTGGAATGGTCCTACTTGGGATTCCCAAGGAGAAGTCTTCCAGGCCCACCATGTGTAGCTGCCTGCGCTGGGCAGAGCATGCTGGGTTGGGGCTGCTAGCTCACACCCCATCTTCTCCCACCTCTGAGCCTTGGGACCTCACAGTTCTCACATGTGTTTGGATCATAATCCTGAAAGACACGATTGCAAATGACATAATCCCAAATGTTGCAATCTGGAAAGATCTGCATCTACAATCCTGCAAATCACAAGCATAAGGATAGTTGCATCATGTTATGCAGAACTATACTCTCTTTATTTTCTCTATTTGGAATCAAGTGTGGTTCAAGTATTGAACCATTAAATATGGTTAAGTATGTCCATGGGTGCCAAGCAGTCAAGGGATTAAACTTGTGGACTCATTTTAGGTGTGGACTTGACTGGATAAGGACTACCTAGAAACCTGGCAAAGCATTGTTTTGAGTGTATCTGTGAGGATATTTGGGGGAGTCTCAGTAGATCAGGTGGGAAGCTCCACTCTCAGCACTGGCAGGCCCCAACTACTGAACTAGGGCCAGGAGAGGATATATACAGAGGCAGCTCGGTCTTTCTCTGAGAGCTGGTACAGGGTTTCCTTCTGCTGGTTTGGACATCAGAACTCCAAGTTTGATGGCCTTTGGACTGCAGGACTTATACCAGCAGCCCTGATGCTTCCAGCCTGAGCCACGCTCCTGGTATCAGCTGTAAATTGGATGTATAAATTGTGTAGATACTTTCAGAAGAGTTCTAATTTGTCTTATGCAAGTTTTGCAAATTTTGTCCTATAAAAATGCATTGTTACAACTTTGTCTCGGTGTGTGAGCACTGTGTATGTATGTAAAAACACTGAAACATCCTCACTAAATGAAGAGATGCCCCTTTTGTACATCTGTATTTGTGAAAAATAAAATTTCTTGAGATCTCAGCTGTTTGGGCAACTGCATAATGCAGCAGTGATCCAGTATGATTTTTGACAGATCTTGGCAAAAAACTTAGGTTGTCCACCACAAAAAGATGATATTTATGAAGCTAAGTGCACACAATTACCAGCCATAATGATAAATGTTTGTATGTTCTCATTTCTGATCTATACCTTATCGGTGTAATTTGTCTGCTCATGACTGTTAAACCTGTACAACTGATGTTGGTATGCCTGAGTGTTTGTGCTTGCAAAAATACGCAAATATTTCATTGTGTAAAGTGGCCTAGGAAGTGTTCTATTGTGTTTTTATGTTTCTCAAATAAATCTCTTTCTAAAAATGTAAATAAATATCTTTTAAAGAAATTTTTATTACTTTTTCCAGAATTATAATTCAAAGATTTTTATCTTTCAGGATTGTGATTTGAGGATTTTAGGTTTTAGGAATTCTGACCCTTTGGGATTCCAATATTCAGGATTATGGCATTCGGGATTGCGTCCCTGGGGGTGACGATTGGCTCCTGGCCCACACGTGCCATGCAGACGTCTTGGCTGCCACTTCCCATTCACACTGTGCACATTTCCTTTCTGTTGGTTTCATGCCAACAAGCTGTTTGAGGGGCAGTGAGGTGTTTGCAGCTTCAAGCTGTCCTTGGCCTTGGGCTGCCTGTGCTGGTGGGTTCAGGTAAGGATATCCGCACATGAAAATGCCCACCCCTTGCTTTCCTGTATCCTACCACCCCCTCCCCATATGACACATTTCAGGACAAAAGATGAAGATTTGGCTCCCAGGGTCTCCTGAATGTGGCCATAACAATGCAGCTTCTGGTGAGTGCAAGCTGTCCTACAGGTGAGGCTCAGCCATGGCTAGTCTGGGGGCCCCCATATCGGGCTGGATGTAGAGGAGGCTTTCCCGGGCCAGGAGGCTGCAGCGACATTCTGGGGCACTCGCTGAGGGCCCCACCTCCCGCTGGCTGTCCAAAGCCAGGAGGCCTTGGGGGCTGTGCCAGGCAGCAGGAGCTGAGTGGGGCTCAGAGTCCGGCTGACCACCATGTGCTGCCTGCTCCACAGCCCCCATGCTGAGCTGTGGGGCCTGGTCCTCCACAGAGGCACTGGCCTGGACACTCAGCCCAGCAGATTTCACTCTGAGCCGGCTTAGGTCCAAGGTGTAGTCTCGACGCCTCTGGTTCTGTGTGCTGGCTAGAGAGGGCAGGTCACGGGTGATGGCTGTGGTGGAACAGCTACTGGGCTGTTTCTGTGGCAGAATGCCAGGGCCCCTGGCCTGGGGCTGCCTGCAGAGCCCACTGCCTACGTCTTGCCTTAGAAGCCGTCCAGATGGTTGTTGGCCATCTGGGTGGATCTGTAGGGCCGCCACACGGGCCACACAGCCTGTCAACATGGGCTCTGTGTCCAACGTGTTTCCCCTGTGAGCAGGCCTCCAGAGGCCTTGGAAAGATCCCAGATCCCCAGGTGGCCTTGGCTCCTTCTGGGAGCTGGGCCAGGTAGAGGGGCTTAGAGCCTTGTTTGTACTGGGAGTGTCTGCTGTCACAGCAGCTGCAGACCCCACAGAGGAGAACAAACCTGCAGGACGGCCTTGTGTCCCTTCCTCCAGAGAGCAGTCCCTGGACAGAGTGCTTGGCCCCTGTGCAGAGCTCCCTGGGACCTGGCTCTCTCTGGGAGGCAGGCACTTGGTGCTTGACCGTGCCCACAGCTCCTGCCTGCTGGGTGCTGAGCACACTGGGGGTCCTCCTGCTTCTGAGGCCTGGGGCCCCCTGCCCTCTAGCTTCTCTGCTGGTCCCCTGGGGGCCTTCTGGGGACCAGTTGGGACTGTGGGCTCTACAGGGGCAGGTGGGGCTCGGGGTCCAGGGCCCCGGCGGAGCCAGCTGACGATGCCCATGGTGATAGCCAGCTCTGTATCGCACAGCTTCAGCAGGCACTCCTTGCCCTTCCAGGAACTCTGCAGGAAGCCCTGGCTGAGCAGGTCGGGGCCTGGAGCCGGGGCCAGGTTCTCTTCGGCCCCCATGTGGAAGCTGCATATGGACAGCGGCGTCCCCAGGGCTGGCCCTGACAGGCTCTCAGACACACACAGGTCATCGTCTGGGCTGGAGCCGACAGGGACCTCGCTGGGGTCATGAAAGAGCTCGTAGAGGGCATCCCCGCTGTAGCTGTCCCGTGGAAAGGGGGCTGCAGGTGTTCCCGGACTTGTGGCCTCCTTCCTGTCCTCCTCAAGGCCTGGTGAGAAGGAATCGTAGTAGCCCTCATCACTCGTGGACACAGATTCCGGCTGCTCGCTCTTGGGAGTACCTGTGTCAACAGAGCTAGCTTTGGAGCCACTCAGGGGATTTCTGCACAGGGGCAGCTCGGCAAGCCTAGCTGCATCCAGCCTGGGCCGGTCTGTATCTGTTCCCTGGGTGGCTGCAGGCCATGGGCCCAGCAGGGCACGCTGCTGCTGCCTCACCGAGCGGTTCACACTCTCCCAGAACTTGCTGAAGTCGGATGCCTCATTTTGGGCAGGCGATGCCAGCTGCTCTACGCCACCCTGGAAGGGACCTCTGGAGACCTTGCTATCCAGGTTCTGAGGCACCCCAGCTGGGCTCTCTGGGCCTTCATTCAGGTCCAGGCATGGCACCGAGCTCTCGTCAGCAAAGATCTCCCCGCAGCCTGTGAGTGAGTCGAAACTTTGAAGGGAGGCCACATCCTCACATAGGACCCTGCAGAGGTCCAAGGACGAGTCGGTCAGGAGCTCACTGTCAGACAGGTCCTGACACAGGCTGTCTGGCCCTGGCCCCTCACCCAGGGGGAGGAAGGCTTTCCCTCGCTTCCCTCCAGAGTCCAATGGGCCCCCAGGTGAAGGCATGCTCTTCTCCTTATCTGCCAGTGCCGCCAAGTTCTCAGTCTTGTTTCTGCGAATGTGGAAGAGGTTCCGAAAGCACTTCTTGGGCCGTTTCAGGGAAATTCTCTTCCTTGGGATGCTCTTGGCCACAGCTGGCACGAATGGCATCTGGGGCACAAAGTGCCGGTAGTCGATCATGCGCTGGCTGCTCGAGGGCCCCGGGAAGCTCGCACTGCCCACCAGCTGTCCGGTGGTGGCTGTTGCTCTGCCAGCCCCTAGCACACTGTCGTGAGTCTTGCTCTTTCGTACCAGCTTAAAGGTGGCCCCACAGGGGGTGGCAGGACCCCCCTCAGGGTCTGGCTGTGCCCCCTGGTTGGAGCATCTGTCATAGTCTTGGGCTCTGAGACTGCTCTGGGGGGTTTTTTCACTGTGGGGCCTCTGCTGTCCTCCCAGGGGGACTGACCAGGGGCCTGCATCCCCCCTGGCAGGGGCAGGGACTACTGGGTCTGCAGGTTTCTCATGGGAAGTCTGCAGGCTGGATTTGATGAAGGTCCTTCCTCTCTTCAGCTCCATGCTGCCCCAGCTGCTGTGGAAGAAAGCGGAGGCACTTAGCATCCAAAACTAAAGGCCCCTGGGCTCTAGAACTTCCCCCTACTGCTCACACGGCTCACTCAGAGGCAAAGCCTGTGTCGTAGGGATCCCCCTTGAATGCAGGGGAGAGGGAGATGGAACAGCCCCACCACCCTAATGGCTCCTGCCTTCATAGCCAGCATGTCTAAAGGCACACAGTAAGCACAAAGTGACTACTGTCTGGTACCTGCTGCCTGCTGCACCCATGAGCCCTGGACTCACCCAAGCACCCTCTCAGTTCACCTGGCCAACTCAGACACCTAACTCCAGGTGTCAAGCAACATTCCTCAGTATATCTTCACTGCACCCTCACAAGGATCCAGTTAGGTAAGGTGACTCTTCATCTAGGTAGAGACAGGTGAATGGGACACTCAGGCCCACTTGCCTCACGCTACAAACTCTAAGACAGCCAAGCACCCACCGTACAGAGCACAGACGGGGAAAAGAGAGAACATCAAGGTGGGTGGCCAGAGTGGAGGATGGGGGACTTGGGGTGTCCCAGGCTGCAGGGGCAGAAGATGTCACCTTTCTTGCACATGGCACTGACAGATCTCTATGCTTGCAGTGCCATTCAGACAAGGTTTCTGATGTCTAGTCTGAGTTCAGTGGGAAAAGGCATGAGTGTCTGCCTGGGAAGAAGCAGGGGCAGGAGTGCTAAGCCCCCACCATGGTCTGGCACAGCAAGTGTGTAAGTCACACCTGAGATCAGTGGGTGGCAGTAGAGCTTTAATGAAGGTGGGTGCTCTAGGACCACACATCTGGGCTGGGGACAGATGAATGGGGAGGATCTTGAGCAGTGAGGACTCCAGCATGTGGCAGGACCCCAGGCCTGGGCAGGAAGTGAGGCTGGCAGAGGATACAGGGCAGAGCCAGGAAGGAGTGCCAGGATTCAGCAAGGCAGCAAAAGAGAGTCCTGGATTCACACTGAGAGGTGGGACGGGAGAGGGAGGAGGGTGCGAGCTGAGCCGAGGTGTGGAGGGGGTAGGAGTCTAGTTTTAAAAAAGGTACCTTTGAGGTTAAGTTTGGAGGCCCCCAATAGCCCCCAATATCCCAGCAAGAAGGAAGAGCTGAGAACCTCCCCTGAGTTCTGTCACACCCCCTTATGGCTTTGGGCTCTGGCCTGAAACACCTCTGTCTGTCAGTACCCCCTTTCTTGGTGGTCAGTGGCCTAAGACCACTGACTGTGGTCTGGCCCCACTGACTTTACATAGGGCTGATCTGTAGGCATCCTTGTTCTCACAGCCTGTCAGGGGCTGCAGCAGGTGTGAATTGAGGGCCAGGGGCTCTGCCAGCCTGGGGCCTTGCAGACCCTAGCTCAAGGAAGCCTCGAAATTACCTGCACATAGCAAGGACAGGATGGTGCCTCACAACCCAGTGGGCATACTGAGGGGAAGAGGTTGAGAAGGGACATAAAAGCTGGCATTGCAGGGGCTCAAAGGGCAAGTGACTGGCTTCCATCTCCTCCTACCCAAGGGCAGTGCTTCCTCCCCTCAGAAGGGCACTTCAGACTTTTGGCTGGAGGATGAGGACAAGCACCATGCCAGGGAGAGCTGCAGAGCCCAAGCTGTGTTCTGGCTGCAGCTCAGCCCTCGGTCTCAGCACCCTGAGCAGAGGGACAGCAGCTCAAGCAGCCATACTGGCTTTCTGCCTCCTGCCAGCTGGTGTGTACACAAGCCTCTCCCATGTTGCACCTGCAGACTTCATTTCCCCTCCACACCATCCTGTGGAGCCTCGCCCAGAGCTGCAGGCTTAGCTGCACACAGCCTGGAGCTTACCATCCAGGCTCTGCGCTGGTCAGCCTGACTTGAGTCTTGGTTGCACCCACCTTATCTGGCAGACAGCATAGCATATATAACATTATGAGGGACATACTATTATAACCCTCCTTTTATAAAGGGTCAGTTCAGGTCCAGAAATGGCAATGGGCTGCCCCAGATCACACAGGTGGTCAGCGGCAGAACTGGGATTTGAACCCAGGGTGTCTGAATCCAAACCTGACAGTCTATGCACCATCAGGTCAGACTCTCCTTTGTGGGAAATCTAAAAACAGAATAATAAATGTCTTTCCATGAGGAATTTTGGAAAGCACAATGAAAGTGAAGGTTAAAAGTAACAGGAGTAGCTCATGCATGTTTAGAAAAATTATAATTGAAGGTGAATACAATTTCTATGGAAGAAAATTTTGGAGACACTCATTATGAGAGCTCTATTTCACTTATCCTTTTCAATGTTTTGCAAAAATCTTTTGATTATGATCCTCTTGGAAATAACTTCAACCAAGCACAGAAAAGATTATTTCACTGTGTGCAGAATTTTGCAACTGTAAGAACTAAAATGGTTTGTTTGATATAGATCTCTATAAATAAAACTACCAGTTTCTCAGTTCTTGGAAGAGTCAACTGATTTAAAATCATGAACAGTTGGAAGTTTCACTCCATTCTCAACTTGAAAAAATGATCCTTTAAAATAGCTGTCATTGCTTCAGATGGCTACAGTCAGTGTCATAATATTGCCAGCCCCACTTCCCGAGTTTATTTGGCATTTTCCATGCACATAGGACAATAAGCTGGAGACTGCAGAGCAGTGAAGCAGAGAATTCTCCATACTGGAGCCATCTCCATACTAGCCATGAAAGCTAGTCTGTGCTCAGTCTGGTCAGTTTCCATATTCAAATGCTTTATCTGAATCTGTCTCTTTGGAAACTTGTGGCCTGTGAGTGGTGTGAGTAGGAACTCCCTGCGTGGTCAGAGGGCCCACTGCCTGGCCGGAGGCAGGTTTAGCAGTCACCTCCCATGAGAGTTCTCAGGGCCAGAGTGGTATTTATATGGACAGCCAGATGTTGGCAGTGTCATTGCCTGAGAGTGGAGGCCAATGTGCCCACGTTCTCAGTTGCAAAAATGCACACTCTGTTTTGTAACCCTGTGGCTACAGACCCCAAACGCTGGCAGGAAATGTGACAAGTCCCCCACCACCATGTGACACAGCCTTTCCCTAAGGAGGGAGCCAACCTATCCCTTTTCTTTCTGGAACCTTGTGTCCAGTGCTCAGTGGCCATCCACCAATTGTTCCTATGGTGCTCATTCTTGCCCCCCAAAGAGATTGAAAATTTTGAAGGTCCAGAGTGGAGGCCAAGAAGTGAGTTAGGAACCAGAGCAGGGTCCAGGCGACAGAGGGTGGTGGCAGAGATACTGTATCTGTGCACCTCTTTTTTCAGTGCCTTAGACTACACACAGAAACATGGATTTATTGCAAATTGAGCAAATGAAGTCATTCTACTGGCTGCTTCTCTACATGATGACTAACTTGGGCTTAGCCCAGGATTTTCATTCCATTTGAGAAATTTGGGGCCTTTCTTTTCTTTTTTTAACATGAATGTGACTGGGCGTTTGATTTCACGCAGCAAAATAAAAACCCTTGAGAAACGCACATGCAACAGAAATATCTTGAGACATAAAACATTTTTCTATTGGTTTTGGTATTTGTTATTCATTCCCCAGTCCCACCCCCAATATTCAGGAAAGTCACAGCAGTAAAATACAAAGAGGTGTATGGAGAGAAGAAAGCCAGGGCCAGGGCTTGCTAGAAACCCACTGGGGGAGGCTGTGGGGCAGCAGCGGAGCTGGAGCTGGGAGGGACGGGGTGAAGGCGGCTGTGGGGAGGGAAGCTCCGGTGTTCAGAGTGGGGGTGGGGAACGAGGCAGAAATAGGATCTGCAGCAAGCATCACCAAACCACCCAACCCCCATGGTGGGGAGACAAAGGACCTTGGGGGGAAGGTCCTGGCCCACCTCCTCCGAGGGAGCCTCTGGGCGTTCCTGGCCAGCCCAGCAGAGGGAAGATGGGCCTCCCTAGCCCTACCCTTCTTCCCCAGCCCCTGCGTCCTGGGCGTGGGGGTTTTCCTCTTTCCCCGCCCAGACCTAAAAGGGTCACCGCCCCCAGAGCCCAGACCCCCACCCCCACCCCGCACCGTCCGGTCTGGGCGTCACGGGGTGAAGAGTGCCCACCGCGCAACAGAAAGCACAAAAAATTACCTTTTCCCCCTGCCCCTAAAGTCCACGTCGTGGGGCAGGGACCGACGCAGCCTCTCGGGGCCTTGGCGACTTACCGCTGGGGGCCGGGAGTGTCGCAGGGCGCGGCGGTGCAGGGTCCGGCGCGGCGTCCGAGACCGCGCCGCGCGCTCAGCACCACGGCCAGCTCCCGGCGCCGCGCGGCCGGGTGGGGGTGGCTCGGCGGCCGCGGGGCGGGCAGGCGAGGGTTAAGCCGCCAGAGGGCGACGCGAGGGCGGGGCCGGGCCCGGAGCCAGGCGCACGCCGCGCTCCCGCGCCGCTGTGGGCGAGGCGACGCGCGCCGGGCTGGGTGGGGGCTGCGAAGCCAAGTCCGCCGCCGCCCGGACCTCGCGGCGTCTCGCTTTGTTCGTGTTTCCCCCGCGTCTCTGTTTCTGTGCGTTTCTGCCTCCCCGCGGGGCTGCGGGTTTGCCTCCCTCGGGCCCAGTCGTCTCCCCTTCCCGCGTCCGCACTGCGCCCCCGCTGCGGCCCCAACTCCTTGGAGCCCACAGGTGGGGGCGCCCCTTCCCTGCAGCCCCGAGCACCCTGCCCGGTGTACCCCAACCTTCTCGTAGGGCGCGGTCACACCGAGCCTCCTCAAGAGTCCTACCAAGGATTCAGAAGCGGGCTTGGAGGAAAGGGTGGGCCGGTGTGGGGATGCAAGGCAGGGTCTTCCAGAACCTTCTTTACGTGCTTTTCTTGGACCTGATTGTATTATTAATGGAAATGAAAAAGGCACTTACCCTGCAAGTGCTTACTGCGTGGGGTCTGCTGGTGCTGTGCCCTACTGCGGTCTTAGGGTAGGAGCAGAAATGCTGTGAGGACTACTCTCTCCTGGGAGCTGAGGACGAAGGGTCAGCACGCTGGGTCCAGCTCCCAGGATCGGGGTGGCAGTGGGATAA